CTAGGGTGAGGACCACCAGCCCAGGGTGAGGACCACCAGCCCAGGGTGAGGACCACCAGCCCAGGGTGAGGACCACCAGCCCAGGGTGAGGACCACCAGCCCAGGGTGAGGACCACCAGCCCAGGGTGAGGACCACCAGCCCAGGGTGAGGACCACTAGCCCAGCGTGAGGACCACCAGCCCAGGGTGAGGACCACCAGCCCAGGGTGAGGACCACCAGCCCAGGGTGAGGACCACTAGCCCAGGGTGAGGACCACTAGCCCAGGGTGAGGACCACCAGCCCAGGGTGAGGACCACCAGCCCAGGTAACTGGGAGCCTTGTGGGATGAAGAAGAGGCTACCGCTCGGGACGATGAGACCTCTCACCGCTCTTCCTAACCCATAACTCTTGCCTTTCTCTCTCTCTCTCTCTCTCTCTCTCTCTCTCTCTCTCTCTCTCTCTCTCTCTCTCTCTCTCTCTCTCTCTCTCTCTCTCTTCTCTCTCCTCTCTCTCCTCTCCTCTCTCTCTCTCTCTCTCCTCTCTCTCTCCTCTCTCTCTCTCTCTCTCTCTCTCTCCATCTCTCTCCTCTCTCTCTCTCTCTCTCTCTCTCTCTCTCTCTCTCTCTCTCCCTACCCTTCCCTTCCATCTCCCCTTCCTCTACCATAACAGTCCCTACTCTCTCTCTCTCTCCCATTACGCTCACTCTCCCTCCACCAGAATACATCACTGTCATGTAATAATTATTGCATGATCGCAATATTGACCACTACACACCTCCTTTATTGAAGCTTTCTTCTCCTTCCGTACACACACACACACACACACACACACACACACACACACACACACAGTTGAGAGGCGGGACCAAAGAGCCAAAGCTCAACCCCCGCAAGCACAAATAGGTGAGTACACACACACACACACACACACACCACACACACACACACACACACACACACACACACACAGTTGAGAGGCGGGACCAAAGAGCCAAAGCTCAACCCCCGCAAGCACAAATAGGTGTGTACACACACACACACACACACACACGCACGCACGCACGCACGCACGCACGCACGCACGCACGCACGCACAACACACACACACACACACACACACACACCACATACACCATACACACATACACACATACACACACACACACACACGCCTACCTAGCAGTAAGTAAGTACCTGGGAGTTAGACAGCTAGTACGGGCTGCTTCCTGGGGATGTGTGTGTGTGTGTGTGTGCGAGTTAGAGAAATATATGTAGCAGACATAATAGAGCAAAATAGATTGGTTAGAAAGGCGGGGCCCAAGAGCTAATAGCTCGATTCTGCAGGCACAAATAGTAAATACACTTGCAAATTACTCTTAACACACGTGCAAGTCTCATGAAATTAATTCCGGTTTTTCAATTTCCACGCGCCTTTCTCGTGCTCCCAAAATGGCATTCTTAAGTATATTTTATGATAATACTTTTGTCTACACGTGAGCGTAAATCAGACCCCCGTGCGTGTCGCCTCACGCGTACGTCCTCAGTTATACACACACATGTCAAGACGAATGCGTGCTTCAACTGATAAACACACACACACACACACACACACACACACACACACACACACACACACACACACACACACACACACACACACACACACACACACACACACACACACACACACACTGTGTGTACTTCACACCGTGAGTTTGCCGTAGCGTGCGCGTGCGTCCACTGACACATAAATTCACCAGGTTGCGTGCCTGATTCCATTTTGGGTAATTTAAATCCCTGTGTGGTATTGAGTAAACACGGGGAGAGTCCCTGACTGCTATTGTTAGCAAATTATCACACTAAACTACACTTAATGGTGCCAGCCAGATTCATGAGCGAGAACACACACACACACACACACACACACACACACACACACACACACACACACACACACACACACACACACACACAGGAAGGAGGAAGATAACTGAGTGATCAGGTTATCAGACTTTACAAAAGTGAGGGAGGACACATGGAAAATGATAGGGGAGGTATACGAGGAACTAAACAAAGCTTCCAGGAAGTATTCAAGCTGAAAC